GAGTCTGAACTTCGTTCATCCACTCCTTCAAGCAACACAGCAATTTAATGCTTTATTTACCGGGTCTAATGTTTTGATTCAATCAAATCGCAACTCATAATTCTATATCACAACCATTTAATTAGAAAAAATCAAAATATCACCTGAGCCTTATGTAGTTATCCTAATTACTTTTGATATTACGTTTTCAAGGCATAAAAATTCGTTTAATATCTAATCAAATCAATCTGATTAGCAGCAAGCACTGATTCGCGCGCCTTACACCATTAATTGAGATTGTACGCGCAGCGGAGGAAGCGTTCTGTACTTGACTATGACGCGTCTTTAACTGGTAACCCAACTTTGCGAGTTATCGATTTTCTCAAACTTCCGAGCTGTCGCAGAAGAAAAATACTTTTAAGTAGATAACTCATTGGAGAACTTTTAGCTGTTTAGTATATTTCATATATAAATCACCGCTCCCACACAGGATACGAACCAGATAAAAACAGAATAAATGAGATTTTAAACATGAAATTTTCTTGCCTTTTTCCCCTATTTTCGAGGTTAAGCTGTATTAAGATTGAATGTGAGAACCAATTCAAGACCTAGCTTTCGTTTCAGAACAAAATGACAAAAGGCAAGAAATTGAAGAGAATCAAAATCCCGATTTTGAAACCCTTGTTAGAAAAATCCATGTATATAATACAGTACAAAGCAGCTATCTATGTTACGAATATCACTCTCTCGTCAGCATTCCTTTTTTCCAACTGCAACAAAATCAAACCCAATGAAAGCATCCGATTACTTTGATTTTCAGCATTCAATTACTTTTAAATGTTTCAAGTAGCTAAGAATTCGCCAATTAGGCATTTTCAATCAACCGTTAGCATCTTCGGATGTTTTCACGTGGTAAGAACTTTAATCTAGTGAACTTGATCTTCTATTCACGCCATGCACTCTTCGGCCACTTCTACTTCGGCTGTCTCCTCCTTTTGCAGTTTGTTCCAATTCTGGCGTCCCATCTCATTTTCACGTTCCTGAAATGAACAATTTGATTGGTCGCCAAAAGATACAATGAAAAAACATCGGCGACGGCTCTCGAATTTTCAGCTCTTTTCCAGTTTCCCAACCCCTCTAAAATTAAAAAATAAAACTGTTCCAAAATTTTTCACTTGTCATTTTGCATGTGAGAAATGTTAAAATTCGTACGCCTGTTCACGCTGACACCTTTTAATGCAGTTTTTATTACATGAAAAATCATTTTAAATAGACGTTCATCTGTTGAATTTCAGAAAAAATCAAAGAGAGGGAACTGGAAAAGAGCCGAATTTTCTCCAAGGAGGTGGCGGAGTTTAAAAACATTTACATGCCAGCAGTAAATATTTTTGAGAAAAATTACTAGCAATGGTTTTCGGACACTTTTTGGGAAAACATTTATAAAAAAAAATTGAGTAATATTTTGTGCGCACTCCCCTCAAAATCAGATTGCAGCACTCTTGAGATAAAGATTGCGGTGGTTCCTTTAAAAAGTCTACTAGCGTGTAAGGCACCCTCCGGTGCTTCGAATTTTAACAACTCAAAAAACGCGAATTTATCGGAAATAACATCTGCATCCTTTGAGTGTTCTCTGACAGCACCGATTTACAGGGTTGGTAATTACAAATTTTGCAATTTTTTTAATCAAGTTTTTTTTATACAAATTTTGCAGAACCATAAAATTTTGTGAAGTTTTATATAAGTTCTTCGAAAAATTTAAAATGAACTAAGAAACGTCACATCTGGGAAACTAAAAGCAATTGAGCAGTCGCATTTGGACGCAAAAATTGCAACTTTTGAGAGTACTCCTATAGCACCGAAGTACAACGTTGGGAAATTCAAATCTTGAGAAATTTCACCTTAGGTTTTCTAAAAAAAAGTATTTATTGAGAACCAGAAAAAATTGCACATTTCAGCAGTCTTATTTTATGACAAAATTTGCAATCTTCGAAAGTACTCTGACAGCACACAACTACAGGGTTGGGAATTTCACTTAGTGAAGTATTTTGTAATTTAAGTTTTCTGAATATTTCCAAAAAAAACACAAAAATCGTCTTATTTCTTAAGTAAAAAGATTTGTAAATTCTTAATTGGAGGTCAAATTTGCAACCCCTGAGATTACTCTGACTGCCCTCAACTACAGGTTAGGAATTTCAAACTTTGAAATAAAAAATTAATTTGATTTTCATGAAAATTTTTTTGAAAAAAGCACAAAAACACGTCATATGTGGATAACTGCAGGCTTTTGAGCAGTCACATTTGGAGGCAAAAATTGCAACTCCTAAGAGTACCCTGACAAACTCCAATAACAGGATTGAGATCTTCAACGTTTTGAAATTTTTCAGAATCTAAGTTTTCTGAAAATTTTTTTAGAAAAAATCCTTAAAAAACCTCATATCTCGAAAACTACAAGGATTTGAGCAGCCCTGATCAGAGGCATCATTCGGAACCCCTCAGAGCACCCTCATAATTCAAATTTTGAAAAACCATAAAACCTTGAAATATTTTATTATATCTAAGTTTATAATAAATAAAAACGTCACATCTCGAAAGCTAAAAGCAACTGAGCAGTAGCATTTGGACGCAAGATTTGCAACTCCTGAGAGTTCTCTGACAGTCGTCAACTATAGGGTACGGAATTTCAAAAATCACAAGAAATGTCACATCTGGGAAACTACAAATATTTGAGCAGTCATTTTTGGAGGCAAGATTGGAAACTCCTGAGAGTACCGTGACAGAGCCTCATTAGAGAGGTAATAAAATCAAATTTTTTTCGAAATTTTTTATACCTAAGTTTTCTGAAAAACTTTGAAAAAAATCCTTAAAAAACGTCATCTCTCGAAACTACAAGAATTTGCGCAGCAATATTCAGAGGCAATATTCGCAACCCCCTGAGAGTACCCTCACAGATTCCAATAAGAGGATTGAGATCTTCAAAGTTTTGGATTTTTTATTATTTGAGTTTTTTTTGAAAATTTCGGAGAAAATCATAAAAAACGTGATATCTCGAAAATTACAAGGATTTGAGCAGTCATACTTGGCGGTAAAATTCGCAACTCCTGAGAGTACCCTGACAGAGCCTCACTACAGAGATGGTAATTTCAAGTTTTGTGAAATTTTTTAAAATTAAATTTTCTAGAAAGTTTTAAAAAATCTCGAAAATTGCCTATCTCGTAAACTAAAAGGATTTGGTTAATCATATATGGAGGCCAGAATCACAAAACCTGGGAAAACTCTTACAACTTCCTACTATTGGGTTGCTATTTTCAAACTTGATGAAAAAAAACACTGAATTTAAACTGGAAAATCAAAAAAAAACCTCAACCATTGCAATACTCGATATAGCTTAAACGTGAAAAAATTCTTTCGTTAAACATGCAAAAATAAAACGTTGAAAAAGCTTAAACATGGCGAGATAGTAAAGCCCGACTTTAAATATATAAGAGAAGAGATGAAATTTAAAAAATTAGGCGACGGGTAGACAGACATAATCAAATTAATTAAAAAAAGCAGGTATACAGACAGACAGACAGACAGACTTAATTTGGCCTCGAAAAAAAAAATACTGAAAAATAAATGAGCTTGCGGAAAACTAATTGAAAAATTTTCTTAAGCATTGCAATATATGATAAAGCTTAAACATGAAAAATTCTTTCGTTAAACATGCAAAATTATTATGCTTAAACATGGGAGATAGCTGTCACTCGCATTTAAATATAGTATAGATAGATAGATATAGATAGATAGATATAGAAGTATAGATAGATAGATAGATAGATAGATAGATAGATAGATAGATATAGATGATTGATTGGTCAATAACGGATGTCATAAAATAGTTTAAAAATGGGGGCTTTTTTACTACTATTTGCGAGTCCGCCCGTGCAGGAAAGCTTCACAACGGCAGAAAATTAAAATACGAGAGGTTTTACTATCAATTTACTTATACATTTCCTGCATTTTGATTGACAGAAGCGCCTATCAATAATCATCACAACATTTTTCTTAAAATGGTCTAGCTTATGTGAAGCCACTATTATCAAATCTACTGCCACTGGGTCAAGATCAATGACTCATCGACTATTTCTTCAACAATCAGACAATTCAATATATTTTTTGCGTACAATTCGTTAATATTTTTTTGTCCGAATGGTTTCAAGAAGCGGTGTGAAATCTAGCTGAACAATTTATGCAGGCAGTGTAAAAACGAAGTTTCTAGAAGTTTCCAGATAATTATGGAGGTTACGTACATGCAGTGCTATTGCCTCTGGTGTTTGCGTTACTGGCGTGTCATTGAGGAGGTTAGGGTCCTTTTCATCGTGGCAGTCTCCGTGTTTCACTCGCTTGAAGATCACACTCAACATGTAGTTCATAGCCCATGTGAACAAACCCGTCATTATTGATAGAGCCCCACTAAGGATAAGTGCATTGCGTAAGTTGGAATCCATTTCCTTGAAGCTAGCGGTTGCGTCACTTGAATTTTCCAAATTCGATTTTGAAGTTGATAGAAGAATTTCACTGCATTAATTTCCAGAAGCAAAAAAATGATTCTGGGCCTCCTCTTAATTTTATATATAATTTACTGCTAATAGTAGTACGCAATGTATCTGAAAAAATCTATATATTTAGAATCGGTGCCGTTTATTGCTTCATAATAGATAGTTCATCTGATTTCAAATACAATTTGAGTTTAATAACACTTCGGATCATCAAAAAATCAGAACCACGTTGCAAAGACCACCCAACTTCACATCGCTGCTAGAATAAAGTGCCAACAAATGAAAAATCTGACACGCTAGTCTGTATCCTTGTATAATTGAGCTTGTTATTTTTAACCAATATACTAGGCCGTTGCCATATCGAACCCATAAAATTACCTTAAGAAGTACTATTTTTGGCAAGGAAAAACCTCTACTTTAGGTGAATAATAATATCTCTACTTCTTTGGGTCTAACTAATTAACTAGCGTTGCTTTTTAAAACTACCGTTGAAAGCTTCAATTATTTGAGCAATTTAAGCAACTTCTTCAACAGTGGTCTTCTCAGAGACATAAATGCCGTCGAGAAACTTTCGGATGTCTTTCTTCTTGACCAACACACTCTGTTTGACAAGAGCCGAACTCCTCGAGACAGCTTCCAGGTCGTTTCCGGAGAACCAATACTCGTCCTTGACTCCCTTGGGCTGTTCGCACGTGACACCCTCGACCATCTTCACAACACGGACTCGCTTCTCCCCCAGAAAGTTTCGGATCTCAACAGTCTTCCCGCCGTCAACGATGTTCAAATTAATTGGGAAATGAGCATACACAGCCTTCATTTTGTATCGGTAACCCTTAAATGAATGAAGCATCCTCAACCCTTTAAGTTTTACAGAACTACTCAGTAAAAATTAACATCTTTCTAAGCTCAATTGTTTACAAAATGGATCAGGTTTATTGCGCAAGTTGCAGTATGAAGTTAACTAAAAGTCGAAAATTCTAAGACTTCAGCTGCTTTTTAGGGAATGAAAAGATAAGCTACAAGAATCAATACTAGCTAAAAAAAAACTGCTGTAGAATTAGTAGAACATTGAGCATTTCAATTCCTACTTTTAAACTAATCTGAAAATAGAAAGTCTTCTTGACAGGAATTTAGACTTTTTTGGAGTCCGAATGACGACAGAAAGGGTTTATCATGACACCACACTTGATGCTCTATGAGTTTTACAGGCAAGTTGATCACTTTTACGCGAATAAAAGAGACCTGGGACTTAACACGGAAATCGATTAAAAAAACCGTGTATAAACGGTGAAAACACAAGAGCAAACTAAGAATTCACGTATAAAAAACGCACAAAAAGAGGCTTTAAGAGACTTCAAAAAAGAGGACCAATTAGAGACTAGTCTGGTTTTAAGAGACCAAGAGGTCATCCTGCTTACAGGTAGTACCAGATTTTTGAAGAGAAAAAATCACGTCATAGATTCTTCCCATTCTTTTGAATTAGAATTTGAATTAGATTTGCAAATTGTGCGCGTAAAAAGATGTTCCTAAAATTTAAAAAACCGAACTGGTCATATATCTAAAACTACTAAATTTCATCTGATATGTGAAGTTTAAAGGGTCATATTAAGGTCGGTCGACAGCTAAGGTCGACAAAAATGATAAAATGCCAAATATCGACTGTTTACAGGTTTTGATCATTCATCTTTCGTGAATTGAAGATTTGAAAACAACCCATATGCGTACCCAGACAGCATCCCACAATTGAGGATTTCAAGTTTTGTTAGTTTTTTTAAATCTACGTTTTTTAAAAACAATTTACAAACAGTGATAAAAAGCATATCTCGAATAGTAAAAGGAATTGAGAAGTCAGGTTTGGAGGTCTTATTTTCACATCAAAAGTGTACTCTGACCAATCACCACCATAAGATAGAAAAATCAAGTTTTGGTGGTCTTTAATCTAAGTTTTTCAAAAAAGAAAAACTTAAAAATCAGAAAAAACACCATATCTCGGAAATCAAACCAAATTGAGCAGTAAGATTTGGAGCCCAGATTTGCAACCACTCAGTGTCCCCTGAAAAAATGCCACAATGGAGTAGAGAATTTCAATATTTGTAAAAAAAAAAAATGAAACATCATAAACAACACCATATCTCGGAAACCAAAAGAACTTGTTGAGAAGTAATAATTGGAGATCAGATTTGCAAACCCTGAGGGTACCCAGACAACGACCAACCATATAGAAAAGAAATTTACGTTTCGGTTTAGCTTTTTTGATTCTAAGTTTTATCGAAAAAATCATAAAAAGAAGACATATCTCGGAAAACACTAAGATTTAAGCAGTAGTATTTGGAGACTAGATTTGCATCCATTGAATTAACCGTAGAGTACCCCACCGGTAGAGTACATAACTTCAAGTTTATTTGAACTTTTTCTATAGAAAAATAGAGAAATTCAAGTTTAGTTAATTTTTTCTATTAAAAACTTGAAAAATCATTTAAAAAACCGTATCTCGGAAACCAAATGAATTTGAGCAGTAATTTTTGAAGGCCAGATTTTCATTCGTTAAATAACCCAGACAGCGCCCCACCTTAGAACTTCGAATTTCATTTTTGTTTTCAAATAAACTATTACGAAAAGCTTTTAAAAATTTGCATTGTGAAAGAAGCAAAAAAACTGACATTTAAAGCATTCATGCTTCAACAGATGTGTGGTTTAGATCGAGGATGAACCTGGAAATCAGAAAACTTCTGAAGCATTGCAAGAAACGATTTAACTTAAACCTGCAAAAAAACTTTCGCTCGGCATGCAAAACAAATACATTGATACATCATGTCAACAAAGAAAAAATTTAAACATGTGTCACACGAAAGGCCAGTTTAACATTTAACAGGCGAAGCTGAGCTTCTCACCACTTGCAATACAAAACAAGAAAGCCGCAAAAAAACGACAATTTCGAAAAAACTAGATCTATCAAAATGAGTAAGGCTACGTTTGAAAGACAATAGAATGTGGAACTAGCATGGGAAAAAATACCAAGCAGTAACAAAGCCGAAAACAACTTTGGAGAAACCTGTTAAGCCTAAAAAAAACCCAGACAGACCCACACATCAAATTTGTTTGCTCGTCATATGAAACAATTTGAGGCCCTTAAGCCGATATATTATAAGGCCAAAACCTATAAAACCGAAAACGAAAAAAAAAAGACAAAAAAGCTGAAAAAAATCAAAAAAATTACTTCCCCTTCACCCTCAAAACACACACACAAGCTCATACAAACATTTTTCGCTCGTCCAAAGACGCAAATTGAGGCCATTAAGCCGATTTAAAACAAGCCGAAACCTATCAAGCGGAAAAAAATAAAAAATAAAAAACCGAAAAAAATTGTTGTCATGAAAATCAAAATTCAGATTGAAACTGCTCAAAAATAGGACACTAAACCGATAAATTATAAACCGAAATGGTTTAGGCAGAATAAAACTAGAGGCCAGCTAAAGCTGGGAACACCTATTTGAGAATTTTTAAGCTTTTTGTACTGATGCGGAAGGACAAGGTTAATTTCAAAAACTGGACTTCACCCAAAACCTTAGTTGGTTCTCTTCTAAAATAACTGATTTTTTAGTTCGATTTAGCAGATTTTCAAAATTTGCTTCAATTTTCTTAAATATTGAAAAGAATACAAGACCCTGTTAGGCAGAAAGATACCTAAAACGTTGCTCATTAGATTTGTGGGTAAGTTGCGAGAAAAGTCAAAAAGTTTCAAAAAACTGTCAAAAATCGAAAATTGGATTTTTCCGAAGGTCATAAACTCTTGTTTAAAAAATAAGGGGTAACTGCTTATGCAGCGGAGCTCCCCACAGCCCGTACTACTTACGGAACCAAAACCTCTGATTTGGAAAAAAAAAGTTATCGAGAAAAGTAAAAAGTTTCAAAAAACGGTCCAAAAATTGAAATTTTGACTTCGCCGAGGGCCTCAACTTTTCGGGTAAAATAAATTGGGGGTAATCGCTTCTGCAGGAGAGCTCGCCACAATCTGTCTTTTCGATTGCAACTAAACTCTCAGATTTGGGATGGTAGTTTTCAAGAAATGTTTAAAAAATTCAAAAACAGTAAAAAATCGAAAATTTGACTTTTCCGAGAGCCTTAATTTTTTTAAGTTAACTTCCCACAACCATTTCTACTCAATGAGACCATAACCTCAGATTTGGGAGGATATTTTTCGAGAAAGGTATCAAAAAAAATTTCTAAAAATCAAAAAAATTGAATTTTTTGAGAGCCATAACTTTTACTGTTAAACAAATTGGGCGTAGGCGCTATTGCAGGGGAGCTTACCACAACCATCTCTATCGATTGAACCCAAAATCTCAGATTTGGGAGGGTAGTTTTCAAGAAAAAGTAAAAAAAATCAAAAATATGGGGAAGGTAAAAAGAGACTAGATGATTATGTAGGCACACAGGGGATTGGGTGGACTTCTCGTTGGTACCACTTTTTATGAAAATTGGTCGAGTATTTTTGGAGAAAAACTAAAGTTTTGAAAAAAGTTTCAAAGCGTCTCAAAAAAATGAATTAAAAAAAAAAACGGTCGTTCAATTGTGGATTTTGAGAACGCTTTCAACACGCTAGACCGCACCGAGATCCTCCTTCAAGTTCGCAACCGTCTTCCCGGTCTCTCCGCCTTTGTTGAGTTTACCTACGGTCACCACAGTCGTCTGCTGTTCGAGGATGTCATTCTCAACAGCGAGAAAGCAGTTCAATAGGGGGATCCGCTAGGGCCTCTCATTTTTGCGGTCACCCTGCACTCTCTTGTCGAATCTCTCAAGTCGGAAGTCCCCGGTCTCACCCTCAACTGCTGGTACCTTGATGATGGTATTTGTGCCGGCGACGAAGACTCCTTGCTCAAGGCTCTCGAATTCATCACTTCCAACGGCTTGCATCTCGGCCTCAAAGTCAAGCACAGTAAGTGTGAGTTGTGGGCCCCTGTGGAGTTCTCGTCCATCCCCGTTTCTATCCCGAGAGCAGCGTCTAATGGCTTCGAGCTTCTTGGCGCCCCCATTGGTGATACTGAGTTCTCAGTTAAAGTCCTGGACAAACGCATCTCGAAAGCCACCAAATGTCTTGAAAAGTTACCTCTTCTTGATGACCCCCAGCTCTCACTTGGCATCACTCGCACTTGCCTTGCTGCTCCCAAGCTGACGTACTCTCTTCGCACTCAGCCGCCCTCTCAGCCTGTCGCAGCTTCCCTGCAATTTTCTGATGAACTCCTCCGCGATGCTCTTTCTGTCATAGTTGGCTCACCTGTTCCTGATCTTGCCTGGTCCCAGTCTTCCCTGCCTATCAAAGATGGCGGACTTGGCGTCCGGCAAGCTCGCGACCAACACATCCCTGCCTTCCTAGGGTCTTCGTGTCAGTCAGCTCATTTGGTCTCGTTTCTTACCGAATGCGACATCACTGATACGCCGGAGTTCCTGCGTGCCTCAAACGACTTCCGTGAACAGTCTGGAAGCGTTAACACTCCCGGTTTTACTCAAGAAGCTTTCCAAGAGAAACTCGATAAGGCCACCTACAACGCTTTCTTCTCGTCTCTTCCCGATTCCCGCGAGCAAGCTCGTCTCCAGTCGCTCTCTCTGCCTTACGCCGGCGCTTGGCTTACCGCAGTCCCCATAAAAGGTCTTGGCCTGCACCTGCTACCTGCTGAGTTCCAAGCTGCTGTCAGATACCGCCTTGGTCTTCCTGTGTTCGCGTCTGCTCGTAGGTGCCCCGCGTGTCCGTCTGGCATTCTGGACGTCCTCGGGGACCACGCTGTCGCTTGTGGGGGGAGTGGTGGCCGGATCTCCCGTCACGACAGACTACGGGACATTATTTTCAATGCTACCACGGCTGCCTCTTTAGCCCCCATCAAGGGGCAACGGAACCTCATCCCTGGAGAACGGTCCAAACCCGGCTATATTTTTGTTCCTACTTGGAGCGCTGGTCGCCCAGCTGCTTTCGACGTCACCTTGACATCCCCGCTGCAGTTATCTCTTTTCTTTCGTGCGGCGGAGACCCCCGGGGCGTCCCTGGAAGTTGCTGAGGACCGCAAATTTTCGAAACACGAGAAAAACTGTGAGGAACAAGGAATCAGTTTTTTCCCGTTAGCAGTCGAAACGCTCGGGGGTTGGTCCGCTTTAGCTATCAAAACCCTCAAGTCAGTTGCTATCCTCGCTGATGCCAGACGTTCTGGTTCACGTGACGCTCGTGTTGCCCCAGTTGGCCTTCTCCAGAGCCTCTCAGTGTGCCTCATGAGAGGAAACGCCACTATGATTGTCAGTCGGGCCATCTAGTCTTGTGCAGTTTATTACGTTTTTGCCTTCCCAATTCTGGTGCTCCTTTGTTCCTTTGCCGTTAGTGCATTCCCCCTCTCTTTTCAATCCTCAATGGTTCATCCCACATTTGTTGTTTGTTTTGTATTCGGTGTTTTGTATTCGGTGTTTGTTGTGTATTCGGTAATTATATGTATATTCAGTAATTAAAATATTTTTCATCTTTTATTTGCGAGTTAGGTTAGAAAAAAAGAAAGTCCGTAATAACACACTAAGCTGATCGTAAGTGTGAATATTGTATAGATAGATTAAAAACTTACGTATGTAACACCCTTGAACAGATTTTCAATATGGGAGCATACGGTCCTCAGGCCAGCCAGTTCCTTCCTGGATCCAAACCACTTCCTCACAGTGATCTTTCCACTTTTCTTATTGTGCTCGATCTGCACGTTGTTGCGGTTGAAGCTCCTCTTTAGCATTCCTCTTTTCCCTTTCACTTCCACGGATCGTCCGAGCACTGAGAAGTCAACTCCTTCTGGAACCTTGATGGATTGCGACGATTCGATGGCTCTCATTTTGCGATCTGAAAACCAACCTTTGTCAGTTTCTTATCTCTAAAAATTTGCAAATAGAAACAACTCGGATAAAACGTTTCAACGAAAGAGTGTACTAAGCTACAGGACAATCTAACTACATTACAAATACAAATGGATTTAAGTTATGCAGAGCTGGAGGTCAACGCTGAAATAAGACTATCTGTTTTATCGTCGTCTGTATAGTAGCCTTTCCATCTAAGATGCCAGGCTACACTGGTAACTGCTGACACTGTTTTGAACTGGTGAACAACATTGCGGGGTATGAAGTAGATATCATTGTGATATAATTTTATTTTCGAATACCGAACACCTTCCCTTGCCATCAGGTTCAATTTTGCGTCATCTATCCACTCTGGGCATTGAGTTGCCGGCGGCTCAAATAAATCAAGCCTTAGTAAGTCCACGACTTTGTTAAAACTGGGAGCTTCAAAACAAATAATATCTTTCACTACTCGATCTAGCCGCGAGGAGTTTGATATATGATCCGGATTCACTGCTTGTACAAGCCCAACTGCAGCTACAGTTCGTCGATCAAGTCCATCTCCTGAGTGATCTGCGTGAGGGTTTGTTCTGTCGGCGAACATAACTTCCCTTGCTTTCCGCTTCGACCGTGGCGACGAAAACATCGCTGAAATGCCATCTTGCCTTTCTCTTGCTGGCGAATTTTTACTATCACATGTAGGCACTAATTGTTCGCCCGGTCTAGTCCAAAGAATTGGCCCATCGTCTGATTTAGAGGGATTTTCTAGTTCCAAAATTGAATGTTTTCCCCAAGGTAATGAACTTTTTAGGAAACAGTTGCTTTCAAGATGACCAAGAAACTCAGGAAAATATCCACCACTTTCTTCACTGTGTGTGCCCACTACATTAACCTGTAAAAGAGGTCCATATCTAAACGTTCCGCAGCAATAAGCTTCATTAACGGTTTCAACATAATCACTCAAAGTCAAAGTTTCAATTCTGTTCTTGTCAAGGATCGACTGTGCCCTAACTTTCATTTCAGGATTTATCTTAAGCAACTCAAGAATCAAGTCCGGTAACCCAGCTAGGCCATTTCTTATTATTCCCATACAAAATGGTATGCTTTCATCGAACAATTTATGAAAGAAGTGGTCCACTACTTGTTCCTCAGATATGCCACCCGAATCTCCATTAACGAGCAGAATTTTTCCTCCACCATTTGGATCAGTTTGAACGACAAATTTGTCACCCACGGCATCTTCGTGAAGCTTAGGGAATTTCGATTGATGATAACTTGTTTCGGAGAGGTCTGCTTCGTGATCTCTCTTTCCAAGCATTTTTTATTTAAGTTTCAAGCTTTTTCAGGCACGAGGACTTTCAATCATTCATTGCCTTCTGAAATGAATGTCGACAAAACCTATACCTGAATGATATTGAGCTTACACAACCAACACTAACTAGAAAGAAGAAAACCAAACATAAACAAGAGACTGCATTGAAAAGCACATATTGGTTGGTATCGAATGGGCTTCAAAAAACGGCATGCTTTTTAATGTTGCCAAAAGCGTCTTTATTCATTTTGCAAATTATCATACAAGACCAACCCCTTTTCATTTGAAAATGGCTGATCAAGTAATTTCAAACAATTTAAAATGGGGTCCACATTTTGCAAAAAAAAAATTAAAAAATGCTACGCTACTTTCTTACTTTCTTTTCCATTCACCCGACTATTCCATTTGCACTGCCCATAACAGTGAAAGTTAGACTAATCAAATCTTATATGTTCTCTTCTCTTTTTTTTTACTGTTCAGCAATATGGTTCCCAAATGAAGCTGAGACAAAGAGTATCGAACAACTTCAATCCCGTGTCACCAAGTGGATAACGAGCAGTGACACAAGGGAACGACTAATGAAAAGCAAATTAATGCCAGTTCGACAATTTTTCGAGTATCTAGATTTAGTGCTTTTTAATTCACTTTTGAACGGGAAACAAAATTTCGAGGCTTGGAATTCAGTAAGTCTGAAATATGATGTTGGTTATTGTTGTTGTTGTTGTGAATTTTCAGTAGGATACTGATGGGATGATATCCACAAAGTTCTCAAAATTTTGTCCAGTTATTTCGGCAAATGTTGCAGTCACAGAGGACCCATGTGCACTTGTTTTGTTCTGAGAATTGATCGTCGAAAAACTTCCACATCATCTGTATCAATCTTCGCTTTAAGCCTCGCATTTCTCGAAATTCAACTTTCTGATTTAGTCGGTATATTAGACGGCACGTCCTGAATGTATACTCTTCTCTAGCTTTTTCAGTTCTGGTCGTAATTAGGTTGAAAATTTCTTTCGTTCTTCCTGGATTTTCAATTATTGCCGGGAGCTTAATGTGATCGTTTTCTTCATGCATGAATTTCTCCATCATCAGTAAAACGTTCAGCTGGAGGAACAACGCCAGAGGCAGGATGTTTAACAATCTCAGCTGCTCTGTATAATCAGAATCGTTTCCCATGATCCATTTTAAGACTTTTTTCGGAAATTTTACAGTCTCCCTAGGTCGTTTCTTGAGATATTGCAAATAATTAGACCATACGTTAGAACAGGATTTTCTACGGATTTGTACACACCAAATTTTACGCGAGTTTTGACTTTGCAATTTGATGCAAAAGAACGTTTTATTCGCTTTCGACATTCTTGAGTCAATATAGGTTGTCCATGTTAAATGTTTGGACACATGTACTCCTGGATCTTTTATCACTTTCGGGCTTTCCACTGCTGTTTCACAAAGAATGAATTCGTGTTGATTTCCTCTAAATTCGGTTTTAAAACATTTGTCCAGTGCAACACTCATTTTGTTTTTGTCTACCCAGTTTTCCAAGCTTTTTAGGTCCTGCTGGATGTCCTTTGTGTCTACATTCACTGCTAGTAAGTTAAGGTCGTCTGCAAAGATATATGGGTCACAAAATTTCAATACTTCAGGAAAATCATTTATGAAGATGCAGTTGAATAATGGACCAATCAACGATCCTTGTGGTACGCCACTTGTAATTTCTAAAGTTTCTGATGAGAAATTGTCAGCACGAACACTTTGTTTCCTAGTGCTGAGATAGTCTGAGATTATTGATTATTTCTGGGAAACAGCCTCCAACTCCAATGTTAATCATTTTCTGTAGTAGTTCGTAGTGCAGAATTTTGTCGAATGACTTAGAGAAGTCAGCAGAGAATGCGATCACATGGTTTTCAGAGTTCTTGTCAATTGCTTCGTAGATTTCTTTCAAGAAAGATAGCATGTTTGTAACAACTGAACAGTTTTTAACAAAACCGTACTGACTTCTTGTGAGAAATTTGTTGAAATGTTCGTACAGCATTGGATACATGCATTTTTCCCGGAATTTACTCATGATATTTAGGAGTGACACCGCCCTGTAGTTTTCCATTAGTCGTTTGTCACCTTTCTTGTAAATAGGCGACACAGCCGCAACTTTCCATTTAACTGTTATTTTCCTTAGCCTCTTGATGTTTTTAAAAACGCAATGCAAAATAGTGGTCTTTTCTCTGGCCGTTCACGGGAAGAAAATCGGTGTGAGTCTATCTGGGCCCCGCGATTTTGTTATGTCAAGCTCTGTTATAATTTGATAAAAGACCGAGTGAAAATTTTCATTCAAAAAGTTCACTTTTTCTTTGGCTTTGGAAACAGCTATGTCGTCCTTGATCATAGTCTTTGGGAGAGTTTCTGATTTTTTCAGACTCTTAAAGTGTTTGAAAAATAAATAGTGTTGCGAATGGACATCAGATTTTCCTGATAATTTAATCTATCTTCCTCTACTGCTTCTTTCACCATTCTATCTAGAGATAGAATGAGATTTCTGCGGTAGCTTGTAGGTTTCAATTTGTATTTTCTAGTTTGTGTTCGCAGTTTGTTCATGATGTGTGAGGTACTTGGCGTAATCCATGGCAGAAGTGATTGGCGACGTCTCGTTCTTCTGGGCACATGTTAGTTTACCAAATTTTCTATTGAAGTTTATGTGACATACTGGTGAGAAAGGCTCACTTAGTATTGATTTCTTGATTTCGTTATAGTCCACGCTACCGAAGCTTCAAAAGTTTTCAATAGCAACTATTTCCTCAGGGTGAGGACATTCAAGAAGGATGCTGATTGCTTTGTGGTCTGAGCAATTGTAAATTTTTGAGAAATTTTCGTCAGGAGTCGCATGAATGTGACAATATTTGAATAATGTAATATCTAGGGTGTTTTTGCCACAAGTTGGAAAATATATTGCCTGCTCGAACTGATGTTGCTCGATCAGTTCAATTATTGAGTTTTCTTCATTTTTGGTGCTACTATAGTCAATACAGTTTGCATTTGGAAAATTTACATCTACGCAAATAAGTGTTGCAGTTGATTGATTTGATTTCTCGATTTCATTTAAAATTTGTGCAAAATCGCCTAGACAATAGCGATAATTGCTGCTCGAAGGTGGATTGTAAAAACAGCAGACAATAATTCGCTCGTCGTTCATTTGGATGCTGCAAGTTAAACAACATTCAGGTTGCTTATTTGGCAGTAAATTAGATGAAAATGTTTTTTTCACTGCCATTAGTACTCCACCGTGCAAATTTTGATCTTTGTTTGTTTGTCGTTCTGATCTATAATTACTGCATTCATTTAGCATTAATTCAGATGGTGCAATGTTTTCATTTAACCAAGTCCCGCAGAGACATATTACGTCATAGTTTGATGTTGCTATAGCATTTGCAAATTTCTTTCGTCGTTCGAGATTTATCAGACTTCTTATATTCATTTACAGGATGTTTAGAAAGCCTAGTAAAGCATCTTTTGCTTGTTCGGCTTCTATCATCTCTTTTTTTCCATCATTGAACAGCTCGAAGTTCTCGATTTTGATTTTCCCCTTGGAACTCCTCCGTCTAGAAATTCTCTTCGTCTTTTTAGGCATAGGTTTTCCTTCCTCGCATCTTCTTTCGATAATGCTGGCAGAAGGTAAATTTCCTCATTTTGCAGCTCATCTCCTTTTTCGAAGCTTTTTGCCAGCACCAACCGTGCTTCATGTTCTGTTGACAGAGTTATTAACAAAGTTCTTGACTTGAAGCGCTCTTTGCTGAATTTCCCTAGTCTTTTTATTTCTTCAATTTGTGGTTTAACTCCTAACTTGTTTAGTACCTCATGTACTTTTTCGGTTGTGGGGACAAAATTTTCGCCTTTTGATTTCTCGGGATCTTCTCCGATCCCCTGTATACGGAAGTTTTTATTGATATTATGATGTATTTCATGTTTTACTTCTTTTCCAGCTCCTGGTTGAGCTTTCATATCTTTAACAGGTTTCACAGTGAGTACAGCTGCATAGCTGTTTCCAGTTTTTCGCATGTGGTTTTTGTAGCGTTTTCGACTTTTTCATCAACCAATGCCGTCAGCCCTTTTCCCAAATTTTCAAGACGTGCTTGTATTCCCTCACTCTCTTTTTCATTTTTCTCGTTTATTTGCATCATGATCCTACACTTTATGGAGTTATCTCTTTCGTTATTAGTGACACATGTGTCGCATAGAAGCATTGCATTTAAACCCAAGTCTTTTATGCCACTGATGGTGGTGTAAGTAAGACTAGAACAGGTGCCCTCAAGATGCATTTGAGCATTGCAAGATACACAACTGAAGTATCTGTCCCTGGCATTTATCGGTTTTTTGCACATTTTGAAATTTTTAGTCATATTGGTGGATACAAAGAGAAGGAGAAAATGAGATAGAGATAATTTAATTAAAATTTGATCCAAGCCTGGACAATTAAGCCCATTCCCGTCACGATTTGAAATTTAAGCTCACAGTTTATTTCTGTTCTCGTTTCCTTCGTGCTTTTCGTTGTTTTTTTCGAAGGTTTCTTTTTCTTCTTTAAGATATCACTCAAGTTGCTATTGCTATATCACTCAAGTGCCAGATGCAAGGAGCTCGCTCCAATAATCACAACCATGAATAGGGGGTCACCACGGCTACCCCGCAAATCATATAACCTGAAACTATTTAATATTTACAACATGAGATCATCTGAGAAACCCTTATTCCATGTCTCAGACACGACGGAAAAATTACGAAAAGTGGTTCTTCAATAGGTGCTTCAAATCGGCCAATGAGTTACATTCGACTACCGACATAGCGGTGTTTGAAGAGCCAGATAGTTTTAAAAAGAAACTGAAAAGTTATATCTTCGAAATACATAGATAAATCTTTTGTATTCATTTTCATTGTAACTTTTAGACAATTAAAGTGTTTTACTACTGCTACTTTTACAATTATATTCATTATCAGAAATCAAGATAAATAAATATTAAAAGATTATTGGTTTGGATGTAAAAAAGCTCTAGTAGAAGAATATGCTTCAGAGCGATA